TCAACTCCCTGAATTCCCCAGCCAGCCATGCTGGCTGGGGAATTCTGGGAGTTGAAGTCCATCCATCTTCAAGCCGCCAAGGTTGAGAAACACTGCTCTACAAATTCCTCCTTCCCCTCCCCAAACCCGCCTCTTGAAAGCATGTTCGTACTTGCTGTTCTTTCCTCTCAGCTTCGCACTGCATCTGCAGAAAATCCTCAGCTAAGGATGCTGCCTGAGAACAGGTCTCGGGTTCATGTTCCCGGACCCAGCTCTGGATCTCAGGGGGCAGGATGGCCAGGAACTGCTCCAGGATCAGCAGCTCCAGGATCTGCTCCTTGGTGTGTCTCTCGGGCTTCAGCCACCGGTGGCAGAGGTACCAGAGCTGGCTGCACACCTCACGGGGACCCTCGGCCTCCTGGTAGCGGAATTGCCGGAAACGCTGGCGCTTCATTTCCATACTGGCCGAGTCATCTCCCAGGACCTCCTCCTTCACTTTGACCATCCCCGATTCTCCAATCTCCCCCGAGTCCAAGATGTTTTGGGCCTCAGGGCTTTCTTCGCTGAGGACCGGAGGGTGCCGGCTGGCCCGCCCCCCCCTGGGCGCCTGGGGGGTAACTGCCGGCCCCTCGGCAGAGGGCGAGAACCCCTGCCGGTCTTCTAACTCCATGGGGCGCAGTAGGTTCCTCCACCCCGAACGAGGGGAACGAGTGGCATTGTGATGTTCTTTCTGCTGGACTGATCTCGCCTTGGTCAGCCTCTCATTTTTTTCTCGAGGGCGGCGAGAGGCCTCCGCTTTGCCCCTCCACCCTTCCTCTGGGTCCAGCGTTTCGGGTTCCTCCTCTTCCATTTTCGCTCCCCGGCGAGCTCCCTGCTCCAACGGGCCTTGGAACTGCAGGCTGGGAGTCGATCCCCGTTTTGCAGACATCCTGGAAGAGGCTCGTGAACGGCCTTCTCTCTTGGTGCAAACGCAAGAGATTTGGGGAACGAAGCCTCCCGACTTGGCAACGGGTCTGTTTTTCCTGGAAACGCAGCTGAGAGGGGCAGAAGAGGGGGTGCCTTAGTCTCAAAGGTGCACCCCGAGTCTCCAAATGAATGGGATCAGGGGTCGGTGGAAAGGCCTTTGACCTGAGGAATGGGAACAAAAAGAGAATGGGGGACTAAGAATTCCTCCCCAGTTTAGCCACCCCCAAATCCCTCTTGGAAAGAAGTCAGAAGTCAGACGCAGATACCAAATGCCTCTTAGTCTACATGTCACTCAAACTATTAATTTCCAAAATCCCGTGCCCTTTTGTCAAGGCTGGATGGAAGGGGATCCCAGACAACCTGAGATCCTCTATATCAATGTTTATCAACCTTGGCAGCTTTCAGATTTCAGCTTTCGGATGTCAACTCCCAGAATTCTCCAGCCAGGAAACCCTGCTCTGTATCCAACTGAGAAATGATCTGAATCAACAGCCATCCATGCCAGCTGAGCTACAAACCCTTTATATTTTTGTTCCAACTCTTTTTGCAACCCACCCATCATTTCCTCCTCCCTCTACTCCTTGTAACCAGCACCGGCTTAAAATGGACAGAACCTTCCCCTGCATTTCCCCTCTACCTACAAACTCAGAAAGAGTTTTGTCTTTAACGTGTCCTTCCTGCTGGAACACAACACATTTTGAAGTGCAAGAAAGTGCCAAAGTCAATACTGTCTAATTCTAGATTTCAGATCTAGGTTCTTGCAAACACTGCTTTACACAACTTGGCACTTTCCATGGTTGTTGGCTTATTTGTGGGTGAACATTACGCCCTGCCTTTTCCTTGGATGCTCAGAAGGGCAGTGTTGCCCTCCTGTAATTCTGTGGATGGGGTGGGGGAGCACGATTTTGGCAGTCGAGGCCACAAAGGCACAACCAGTGACGTGATGACCTCAAAGTGGGTGGGGCCACTGGGGCCCATTATTCCAAGTTCAGCCACCTTTATTTTAGCCCAGCCTTAAAAGAAGAAAGCAGGCCAAGAAAATCAGTGATCTCACCGCTGAATGTTGGGGGAAATGATGGGGGGGTGCAAATTGCAGGCCAATTTCAGACTTCCAGACCTGCTTTAGGATCTCTGACACGCTTCCTTCCTTCCTTCCTTCCTTCCTTCCTTCCTTTCCTTTCCTTTCCTTTCCTTTCCTTTCCTTTCCTTCTCTTCCCTCCCTTCCTCTTCCTTTCCTTCCTTCCATCCTTTCCTCCCTCTTCCTTTCCTTTCCCTTTCTCTTTCCCTTTCTTCCTTCCTTCCCTCCTTCTTCCTTTTTCTTTTCCTTCCATCCTTTCCTCCCTCTTCCTTTCCTTTCCCTCCCTTCCCTCCCTCTTCCTTTCCTTCCTTCCATCCTTTCCTTTCCTCCTTCCCTCCCTCTTCCTTTCCCCTTTCCTTTCTTCCTTCCTTCCCTCCCCCCTTCTTCCTTTCTTTTTTCTTTTCCTTTCCTCCCTTCCTTCTCTCTCTCCCTCCTTTTTTTTTAATGTTGCATAGTGACCAAAGCTAAGAACTGTAATTTTAACCCCCCTAGTGTTACCTCTGCCCAATCTGCTACTGAAATGTAAACCCCTAGCACAGTGTTTCCCAACCGTGGCCACTTTAAGATGTCTGGACTTCGGCTCCCAGAATTCCAGAATGGCAACCCAGGGACGTGTGTTACGCGAACCCATCCCCTGGAGGACGCATAGCACTGAACTCGACCAGCTCATGGCCTTGTCCAGCAGGGCTCTTCTCGGGTTCTTGTAACCAAAATGCAGGAAGCTGCTGAATGTTAGGTGAGAGCATCAGTCCTTGCAGTTCAGTCCATTTGGGATGGGAACTTACCCAGTTCACACTTCCTGCACACACGCACACTCTTACGCCGCAATCTGAAGTTTGCTGGTCATTCTTACGCAGTTCACAGCTGGGAAAGGTGCACACAAAATGCACAAATTAGGAGAAAGCCCTGCACACACGTAACAACATATATTAAGGAAAAGGGTGCAAAGACCTAAATGCACAAAGTAGGGCACTGATGGAGAACCTGCAATTCAAACACATTACCCACCCTATTCACAGCCCCTCAGTCCAAAATCACCTGATTTGGCAGGTTTTCAGGCCCTAAGGACACTTGTGGGACATCCATCTTTTATTGTGGTTTTGTCCTGTTACAGTGTCACTTTTAAGATCTGCTTCGCTCAAAGACATCCTCAGAGTCAGTCAGATTGGGATGGGCCATGATGTAAGTAAGTAAGTAAATAAAGAAATAAAGGTGGCAGCAAGAATAATTTCCAGTGCCACCATGCCAAAGTAAGAGTAGGAACAGACCCCCTCAGCCTCTGCAAAATACCTCCATCGCCACCCTTGAAACACCCAGCACACATCACACTTGTGTATTCAACACACAGCATACTTGTGTGTTTGGGAATAAAAACGAGCATATTACGCCCGAATAATTAATAACGGAAAGGCCCATTATTGGAAAAAGATATCTAACAGGTGAGCTATTCAAAGATGCATTCAGGAACACACCTGCAAGCTTTGTTTCTGACTTTGTTTTTTGCTTTAATAAAATGCAAATGATAAGAAAACAGGCCCAAAAGATGCGGCTGCTTCAGAGGGCTTCTGAAACCTGATTAGGAATTTTGATCCTTTCTGCAGAGGAGATGGGGTGGGGGTGGGTGGGACATGGTTATGTGGTCTTGGTGCTGTTAGAAAGAGGGAGGCCCTTTTGGTCCTTTTTTAATTACTGCACCTAGAGAGTAAGCCGCTTAGAGTGACATGCGACAGGAGTCGCACAGAAGCCTTAGTAAATTGCTGGGAAAATTAGATTCTGAGCAGTTTCGAAACTGATTTGGTCATCCTTACTAATTACATCCC